ACTCATACCTTGAACCTTATGAGCTGTACATGCCCAAGCTAACTTCAGTGGAAACTGATGTCGGACACACTGTTTGTTCAAGTTTTCTTCTACCATTTCAATACCGACAACATCTCTATCATTATTACAGGAAGTTTGTTTCAATTTTGATCCAATATTCTCATTGTCAAATTTTACTTTAATCAACTTAGGTGACTGCTCCCGATCATTAGCTAATACAACAATTTCATTTACAATTCCAAATACTCCATTAACAAGTCCATCAGATACATCAAGGTTTCTTGTAAGCATGACTCTAGCACCGACACCAAGCCACAAAGAATCAGGTAAATTAGTCATTGAGGATTTCTTGAGTGATTTCACTACTGATATCATTTTCCCACTTTTTGCATCTTTCTGGAAATCTTTAGCAAGAACACATACACAATCTGAACATTTAGCAAAGAGGGTGTGTGTATTGTACTCATCCACTTGTTTATTGCAAGGATAGATATGCACAGCATCAGTCCAATCTTCTCCAGTCTCACGTAATTGTAACAGTCTCTTATCATCAGCTCCTAAGCTTTCCTTTCTCTTTCTGATTCGTAACCTATTCAATACTTCAGCAAACTGTGCATCATCCTTTTGTCTCATTATCTCATTCAGTTCTACTTTGACAAAATTATCATTCCACAAGTCAGATGTAACATCAGTCTGGTACAAAGATTTTGCTTTTACTGGGGGTAACTGATAAAAATCACCAACAGCTAATACACTGACATTTCCAAAAGAACTATGATTCCTTGACTGTTTTATCTGTCGCAGACGACCATGAACATAGCACAAGAGTTTATGACCCACCATCGAAATCTCATCAACAATCAGAATTTGTAGTTGCCTCAATTTGTGTCGTAGTGTACTGATTTTTTCCTCACTCAGTGGTTGATATGGCAATCTGACATTTGTTGTTATTGACAAAGCACTGTGAATTGTGGCACCATGTATATTATATGCAGCAACACCTGTAGGCGCTGTAAGCAAAACTGAGATGTCGTCTGGATTTTCTACCATTCTTCCAAAAAGTCTTGTTGCCTCGTAATAAATACATTTAATCAAATGGCTTTTCCCTGTGCCTGCTCCGCCAGTGACAAATACATGAAACGGTTCAGGATTTTTACCATTCACCTTGTCCAAACACCATTGTCTGACTTTGTAAAACACCTGTTTTTGTTTAGCATTGAGACACCTCAACAAATTCATTGCTTCTTGTTTAGATACATTTAATCTGTGTGGTTCTATAGTATATTTCATATCATCATCTTTCTTGGATTTCAAATCGGGAATATCTGACTCATTGTCACTCTCTTCCACTTGTCCTTGTTGCTGCCCTTCACATTCAAGTCTGTCCTTTTCAGTTTCTGGAGCTATCAATGCCCAAGCATCTTCTTGTGGACCAAACTTCTCCAGCATTTCCTCAGCTTCATCTACTGCCTTAGCATTAGCTTCATACAATGACTGGTTACTTTCAACAATAATTCTCACAGGTTTCAACATTCCACCGAACTTAATACTGCCATTTCTATAAAATTCCTCGTATGATTCAAACTGTTGCGGTTTAAACTGGGCATCAACACGATATGGAAGGTACAACTGCAGTATGCCCCTGTAGTACTTTTCAGGACATTTTGCTGATGAAAATCTAGGAAATCGTATAACAGCTGGATCAGTTCGACTTCGTTTCTGTATGTGGCCTAAACCATTCTTCAATTCATATACTGGTGAACGAGTTGTTTTAGCCATGTTTGTATATATAACTCTATAATCTGAGCAAAATGTTGCCAAGCACATTGTTTCAAATTTGTCAGTATTTGGTCTTGCTAGGTACCTATCAATTCTACTAGTCATCCAAATATTATCATCTTCATCACATGTACTTTGAATAACACTCAGAGGCTTACTCATTCTAATTGGATTTTCACCGACAGGTATAAATTCCACTTTCCTTGATCCTTCTTTCAATCTGAGATTACAGACACGGTAAACTGCTTCTTGTGCTGATACTTCACGGTTATGCAAATACACACAGCCAATTTCCCGCATGCTCTGTCTTGCATCTAAATTTCCTTTCTGAGCCTTTGCCTGAGCATGTGACAACAACATACCCATTTCACGTTCAGCTTTGGACATATACGATACCACGTAAGCAACACAAGCATAAGCATCACAAATGTACTGAATATCCATGTTTGCATTCCAACATCTTATCAAATCTGGATTGTACAAATTAACCCATACATCTTGTGGCTGTCTCTTATGAACTAAACTTGTTTTGTGACTTAATACATCATTAGCTTTTTCAAAATCACTTTGTGTCACATTTATACTTGCAAATAATTCATTGGTTGTCATGTGTTCATTCTCAGTTTTCTGTATTGCAGTCCATATTGATTGCAGCAATTCCTTGGCCTTATTTCTTTCACTGCTTTCACCATTGGCTTCATCGTCATTGTCTGTTGGCATGGGCTCAGTAATGAATGTTCGTTCAGATGGAGGTCTCGAGAAATTGAACCTACACTCAGTACCCTTCTTTTTACACGACTTGGAGTGTTTTCTGCTGTGCAACTGTACGTGACTAATAATTTCATGTAATGCTTCATCCTTGTCCTTTGATGGTAATTTACAACTTATATTTGTCAACAAACTGAACAACCTCTCTTTTACTGTCATCTCCCAACTTGGGTGCATTTTCAATCCAGAAAAGACAATGTGTATGTGGCGACCCTCTTTGTTGAAATTCTACTCTGTAAAAATAGTCTATGACTTTTCCTATTGGTTCAGCTCTGGACAGTATAACATCTCTCAGAAAGGTATGGAATCGCTGATCAAACATTCTCGCAGCAGTTACAGGATTACTTCGCAATATGGTACATTTCTCATTCCAGTCCAAATCTTCTACATCTCTAGAATCACCTTGCTGTCTTAAAATTGTATTGATTACCTCAGGCCACCGCATATCTGCTGCAGAAAACGAACAAAACCATGTTGGTATTCCTAACTGTCTGATCATAGCCAAAACATCATTCTGTGCTGCTTGCCAGTATGGGGGTGTACCACGAATGGGCTTGAGAAATTTGTATCCACTATCTGACTTCAACATATCTTGTAATTGGTCCCTGTCATTGATCATGGAGGCATTCACACTGTCACCATTGTACTTTTTATCAGATCCTTTTCGCAGTGCAATTGAAACACTAGACATAACTCTCTGAATCTCTGACAAATACTGAGCATAAAAGATATATTGAGTACACATTGCAAATCTATTATCAACATTCATCAATCGGTTATGCAAATATCGGCAAAGTGTCAATTTCACTACATGATCATCATCAAAAATAGGTTGACCTGATGGAAATAATGCTGGAAAGCATTTGGCTTCATTACCCTTTTCCATTAACACTCTAATTGGACTATTGCCTTCACAAGGAGCCACACACAGCACTTCCTCAAAATACTGATCAAGTATTTCCTGTCCTACGTTAGTTGGCTGAAGACAAGTGTTTAATGGCATGCCTCGTAAACGATCATCATCAGTTTCCTCATCACTGTTACCGCTTTCATCATTGGCTTCTTCTTTCACATCAGGTACAGACTGATCCATTTCATTATCATTTTCACACATTGGATTTTCCCAATCAGCATTTATTTCAATGTCACTGAACCATTTATTATTAAGTTGAAAATATCGTAATGCATTCTCCACATTTTCTTTACTCACAAACTGATATTGATAATATCCTTTATAAGTCAATTTCCTCTTCAACTTGACTCGGATCATCTGATCATCGTTTTGGGACCTTGGCAATGCTTTCACTGTATCCGTAATATTTGATGGCACACATACAACTGGACCTCGTACACCATGTTGTCCTCCTTTAGGCAATGCGATCATTTTCATGAACGGTACATTTATTGCAATTAGATGCTCTTCTAACGTATTCAAACAAGCTAATTCCTCAGGGATGTCCATCAGGTTTAAATTATTCACATTAGCTTCAGCAGGGACTTTATTAACAAGTAATTTTCTGTGACAGGTATAACATATCCATAAACATGATCTGCTTGATTCTGCAATCATACACTTGGATTCACAATGATCACTACAAGAATGAAGATGTCTGATCTTTGTATTTGTACAGGTTACACTGTATAACTTGCTTTTGAAACAGCAGTTTAGCACAGACATACTCAGGACCTTTAGCTATGCTTTCTTTGAATTTCTTTGTAACAAAACAAATTTTACGTCTTTTCTCTTTGTTAATCACAGCACGTCTGTAATTCATCTTTGCCATACTTTTACGATATTCACTATTTATTTTATACTTCCTTTTTCCATACTTTATTAACTTTGCCCTGTAAGATGTCACACATCGGTATTTCTTTTTGATACTTGCGATGAGCTTTCTTCTATATGAAGCATTGCCATGATATTTACATTTAGCACTATTAATTTTCTTCTGTCTATAAGCAAGATCTTTATGGTACTTTGCTTTACACTTGCTTTTTTCGTAATTTATTAGCTTATCTCTATATCCTGCATCATCACGGTACTTTCTTTTCCCCTTATTGATTTTATTTTCTCTGTATTCAGGATTATTGTAATACTTTGTTTTTCTCTCATTGATTACCTTGATTCTGTATTCAGCATCATCACAATATTTGGCGATCAACTTCTCTCTGTACTGAGGATTCTGGCTATACTTTGTTTTCCCCTTAGTGATCAACTTCTCTCTGTACTCAGGATTCTGGCAATACTTGGTTTTCCCCTTTGTGATCAACCTCTCTCTGTATTCAGGATTCTGGCAATACTTGGTTTTGCCCTTTGTGATCAACCTTTCTCTGTACTCAGGATTCTGGCAATACTTGGTTTTCCCCTTAGTGATTAGCTTCTCTCTGTACTCAGGATTCTGGCAATACTTGGCTTTCCCTTTGTTGATTTTCTTTTCTCTATATTCAGGATTATCATGGTCATTTCTTTTCCCACTGTTTTTTTTTCTTTTCTTTGCATTCTTGATTGTTACAATATTTCTTTTTTTTATGCTTTAAAATACTTTTTTTATGCGTTTCATCGTTATAATTTCTTTTTTCAGCCTTTAATCGCTCTGTTTTAAAGTCCATATCACTATTGTACTTTATTTGAAGCAATTCCTTCTTCTTGTCTGCATTCTTTTGGTAGTTCTTCTTGTTATACATCTTTTTACTTTGCTTTTGCTCATCACTCCTATTCTTTTCACCTTTCACCTTGTCTGCATACCTTTCCTTAGCTTTCTCTCTTTTCCTTTTTTGTTGTAATTTTCTATTTCCTCGCTTACGCCTTTTACACTTCAAATTCTTTTCTGATTTACTGGAGGTACGGTCTTTTCCACACTCTGCTTTTTTTATTAGTTGTTGCTTTTTGTTGTCTATTATCAGATTGCCTTCTTGATTGAGTTGATTCATGAACTGACAACACAACATCATAATGAATTCTATGCCTATGGTACAAATAAATTGCCTCATGTAATGTTACAGCCTCTCTCTCAAAGGTGCTTGCAGAGAAAACATACCACTTATTCACATCTTCAAAAGTATATATGTCTGTACCCAACATTTTGTGCCATCGCCATGATTTCAACCTCTGTAGACCACACTCCAGAGTCAAACATTCTTTGCCTTATGACATATTCTTCCACATTAACAAACCCTTGTCGCAGAAAACCATTGAATTTATCTCCATTTTTTAACAAGTGATTGACAGTAGCCATTCTTAACTGCACATGATTTTCTTCAGTTCCTGACACAGCAAATGATATCGCCCGGAAAAAGCAGTTTCCATCACCTTTAATTTTCTTCACTAAATCAGGTTTTCCCATCTCTTCACATTTATCTGACACCTCATTACAATCCAGAGATATTTGGCCTATTCCATGCTTTCTGCACAGTCCATTCTTGCTAGCATATGTCAGAGGAACAAACTTAAAACCTTGACCTTGTCTCACTTCCTTGATTTCAACATCACTACCATTATCAACTTTATTACAACTCATTTCATTGAAACTAGGTTTCTGACCTTCCTTCTTCTTATTTGGCAGATCACTACATGTACTTGGCAAACTGCTACAAGAACCAGGAACTTCTCTAGAACCACTACTTCCTTCATTGCCTTCTCCATTACTGTGATCACTACTTCCCAATAACAATTGCTCCGTCTCCTCTTTACAATCATCAGGATCTTGCCTTACCTCATCATCCAGCCATACAGATACACCTGTAATTTCAAACTGCTCATTATTAGACAAAGACATTGATCTTGCCAAATCAGTACAATACCTGTGTACATCTTGCCATGTAGCCACACGCTTCAACAAACTCCGTCCTTCACTGACCTGGCAACCTTGCTGATTTCTAGAGTGCGAATCAAAGACATGGAACATTCGATCTTGAGCAATTGCAACAAATGTATTTCCATGGAAGGTTATGAAACATGCAAAGTACTGCTGAAGAGTCTGTTCTAAGGCACGATTTATGGGCACCATGTGAAATTCAGCTAAATTACACTCCTCTCCTAATGTACCACATACAGGATCATAAAACCTCATACTGAAATGATGATTGAGCAAATCCAATTCATTTGGCAATTCATTTATCAACAAGTATTCATTATTCATTGTAGAACTCCGAGATAAATGTCTGTATAACTCATTTCCAGTATTCAGTGCAGTATCAACATCACTACGACACCAGTCTTTCAACTGCTTGACTTTATTGTACAAGACACAACACAGACTGTTCGGAATGCATTGTTTCCCTGAACTCCATCCAAATCTATGATGACCTTGATGAAAGCTTCCCTGTATAGTCTTTGTTGCCAATCTATTATGGTTCCCAACTCCTGCAATATCACTGCAACTCCTTTGTCTACTACCATCTGTACTTATACCCTCATGACTTATTTCTTTCTGTTTGCTACTCACTGACTTGCACATTGCATGTAGCATTTTACTTTTGACATCATGCTCCTCTAACATTTCATGTACCACCTTCTTTTCTTTACATTTCATTTCACAGCTTTCAGTGATAGGTGACAGCTGCCGTTTCCTGTTTCTAACTACATAGGATCTTTTCTGTCTGGTTTCAGATCTCATATCATCATCTCCTTGAATATTCTGCAATTTACAACCTTGCTTATCAGTATTACTGTCTAGGCCAACACCTTCTTCAAACTTTTCATTTCTTCTACATTTTCTACTTCCTCTTCCAACAGTTTTGGAGGTCTTTGTTTTATTTTCACCTGCATCATCTACTTTTGGAGACTGGCCTTTCTTGCTCCTTAGTGAGTAACCACCTGTCTGCTTTGGCAACATCACTTCTATCATACAACCTGTACTTTGTTCCTTTCGTTTTGTATCACTTACGATTTTTGTTTCATTGTCCTGGATGCTGTCCTTTGTGCACATTCCTCTCACAGGGCTCTCATTGACCACATCATCATTGGTGCATGTCTCCTGAACTGTCAAATCAAACATATTGTCATCTGTTGGAATACCAAGATCATACAAAAGAGACTGAGAGTAAGTGCTCTTACCACATTTTAGACACACCCATGTCACTGATTTGTTTGCCAACAACTGTTCCATCTTCAAGAAATTCATACACTTGACATGATACCAAAGGCTACAGCCATCACATTGCACTTTATTGTCAGCTGAATCAATCTTCTCATCACACAACCAGCACTGTTTATCATGATCAATGTGTGTAATCTGCATTGTCCTTCTTTTACATACCCTCTCCTTATTTCCATCATGTACTTCTGAGTTCATTACTTTTGCCTTCTTTGACATGCTTACATTCATTTCCTTTTGTCTGAAGGTATCACTGTGATTGACACACCCCTTTACATTTGTCATACAAATTCCACTTGTCTTCCTTTGCGTACTTTTTGTTTCTCCATTTCTCACAACCTGCATCTTCTTTATGATTAGCGAAACACTTCGTTTTGTTTTGCAGAATATTTTCTTCTGAACCTTTTCATGGACTTGCCTTTCTTCCTTGCTCAACCACAATTCAATCACTTTCCCATTTCTCCTTCTATTGTACGATTCTTTGCAGATTTCTCTTCTAACTTTCTTTCTACTGACTTTTACCTGCTTCTTTCTTGATCCCTTGCCAGACCCATCACATACATCTTTTCCAGTGTTACCTCTAGCACAGGGCTTCTTCTTTAGCAAACTACTCAGCCATTTCATAGCTCGCTGATTACACACCCTCTTCCTGGTCAGCTTGTGAATTCTTCTTCGTCTCAGTTCACATACCTTTGCTCTTGTACCACGGTTCAGGTTCTTCAAATGTCCAACTGGTATCACCAGACTCTGTTCATAGTCTCCAGCCAAGCTGTTAACAGGCACGCTGGCCATATAACTCATATATCTCTCAAGACACTGCTTGATTCCTTTAGACTGTTTTGCCATGCTCTGTTCATACTCTTTATCCTGACTGTTTTCTGACTGTTTATCCGCCTGTTTGCACCTTTTCTCAGAATCCACTCAATTGATGGGTACGCTGGCCCTTGTACCTGAACAGAGAGGACGCTGCCTCATCTGTTCTGATGACACTGCATCTAGTACAATCACGTCACTGTGAATCAACTGGTTTGCGCACTGTCCAGCAGTTATGGACAGACGACGTCCCCGAAGAGGTACCAACCTCGGAACTATTTGCGAAGAGGAGATGGAAATGGGAGATGGTGACAAGTGACGAATGGACCATGACTCGGGAGGGGAATGACAAACGTCCTGCAAACAAAACACAGACAATGATGGAAAAGGATCTCCATCTTGCAGACGGCATCGTGGCAGAGGGCTCTCGGCTTTCGTGAACTTCACCATTTTCTGAAGAAAAAAGAAAGCATATAATAACCTAACTAAGTTGTTGTTTTTTCAATGAGAAATACTCTTTTGTTTCAAACATGTCTTTCTCTATATTTGCAAGTCCCGTTCCCCACCCTTAAATTAGAACTTTAAACATCAATGACCAAGCAAGACTCCATACTGTGTATTATGTACATGTACATGTATGTAACCATTTACACCATCGGGGGCGTAAATGGGGGATCCCCCCCCCCCCTTTTTTTTACCAGGGGGCTGGGCCATTGAATCATCTGCTCTCCCCCCCCCCCCAACACACTTTTCCATTATGATAAAAAAGCGCACTTCAAAGTACAGTGACATCCCCATAAGTCAAACTCCGATAACTCAAAACGACTGTTTACTCAAACAAATTTGAGTCCATTGCCCCCGGGAGTATAATAATGATACGCAACCCTGCTTAACTCTAAGTTCTAACTCAAAATTCTGCTTCTGTCAAATTTTGAGCCTGTTCCCTTGAGGTTTGACTGTGAAGGTGTACACCTACTTACACGTAAATGCATTTACATGTACATGTACATGTACTGACCATGTACATGTATGTGTACATAATACACATTATACATGATACACATGATTGACCCCATCAACATGACAAGCCGTAGAAGTACAATATTTCAGGCCGGGCAAAGGGACTTTATTTTCCCAATTTTCCAACACTACTATGTAAATTAACAAGAATTGACTGTTTATAATTAAAGCTTTATCATGTCATTGTGCCTCAAGTTTATTATTTTCTCCATGCATAGGCATAACTAGAGTTAAACTGCTGAGGAGTACATTTTTTTAAATGGGAGAGGGTACACTGGAAGGCACTTAACATGTTCTTTTATTTAATACAAGATGTTCAATGGGATGGCGGATACGCCCACAGGGCATAGTAATCAAATAGAACTTAAAAGGCATTCCCCCTCCCACCACCCCTTAGTTATTCCTTTGACTCTGTCTTCCATTAACTAGTCAACCCTCACTCCAAAGTATTACTATTAGTAAACAATATATCAAACAATTTCTGCGTAATTGCAATAAAAGGCGTTTTTTCCCCAGTTCTTTAAAACACAGTATTATTTCCAAGCTGCACATCTTGGGGAAGGGAAATTCTCTTGCTTTATATTACATGCAAGTACGCAACATTTCCCAGTTTCCATGTTCACTCAAACAAAATATCATTTAATGCACTTTGTACTATTTGGGGGTAGCACCACTTTTTTTTTTTAAATTAATCCAGAACAAAATACAATTGTACCCAAATACAATATTTATCCAAGTGTAGTGTGCATTTTACACTCGATCTCTTTACCGTTGCACACTCATTCGTTCACACACGGTTGGGCTGGAATATGGCTTTTCCAAGTAATCTAGTCCCAACTATGTCAGTTTTCTAAACACAGAAAGATTCCCATATCTGCCCATCACTAATTCTTGGTAAAGGCCTATCCCAAATTCTTCCCTTCAATGACCTATCAGCCATCAGAAAGTGATAATATGTCCTAAAAACTAAAAAGTCAAATTTGGAACTAGAACTTAGAAGTACATGTACAAGCTGGTAAAATATTGAACTTTACTGAGAAAACACAAATTTACCAATTTTAAGACCGGTCTCACACAACTGGTTTGTGCACAGACAAGCATGACAAGTGACGTCCAGACATGGGAATCTTTCCCTAAATACTGCTAAACATATAGAAGTAGGCCTATGTCTATTCACAGTAGAGCGCTAGAGTACAGAGGGTACCGCAGTTGCAGTGCTCCACTGCACTCAGCATGCTCACACTCAGTACACCATGTGATGATGTACATGTACATGTACATTGGCCTAATCAGTAGCCACACTAGCCAGCCATGCTAGCCGGCAGTAGCACGTCTCGCGACTCGAGCTCCCCCCACTTCGGTTCACCCATTCATCGAAATTCGCCACCATATCACACCTGATATGTTGACTTATAAAATCACCCTTATCAATTCCAAATATTAAAAAACAAACCTACGCGCAAATGTACATATTCGAATAAAAATACACAAAAAGTTGTCTCTATTCTATTAAGTACCGTGCAGCATTCTTACCGTGTAGCTAATAGTCTGGAGCACCTTCTTGATACAGCACGGCCAAACGCTTTCTAGAGCCGCGATACCATTCCATCCAACAGGCTCCATTCTGAGATCGGGGTCAATGCACCTTCTGTCTTGATAGAGGGCGCCAGCCATACTACGGGCTAGGAATTCAGACAAAATAAACACCAAGGCAGTCATCAGCGCCCAGCTCCCCTCGTTACGGTCATGCTCGTGCCTGACGCTTTTTGAGGGAAATAAAATATTTTCCCGAAAAATATGCCTACTGGCACTTTCATATGTCTGATTGACTTTAGACTCGTCAGACACTAATTACTAGACCACTATAGCGCAACCGCATGCAGATGATGACGTCGAACGCATATGGGGAGGGGCACTGCCGCTGGAACAAACTTGTCAGGGGGTGCTGGAATTTATAAAGGACGGACAGAATAAATACGGAAGCGGACCGCAAAGCCCTTACGTTTTGGGTCAATTTGGAATATGGATGATTTAATTCTGGACAAAATTGTTTATATGTATGATTACGAATGACATCGCATGTAAATTTTATTGTTGCAAGACTGCTTTCTTACATTTAGTGAATGCCGTCATGAATGTTTTGTTTTATTTTCTGAGCCCTTACGGCGTGAGGCCACAGGGCCAGGAGCCCGCTTTAAGGCCCCGGAAAAAGTTGGATTCTGGATGCACTGTGATGAAATATACTGGTAGTATACTGAAACATATAAAACCCGAAAGTTGGTTTTTTTTGGTTTAAGTAAAAACAAATAGTTCCCCTGGAAGCGGACGAATTTCTGGAAGCGGACAAATATTCATATAGTTTTAACTCACCAAACGATGTGGCTCTCGATTTGCAGTGTATTTTGTTAGTTACAAGGAATGGCAAATATAAAACACTAAAAGACCAAATGTTTCTTTATGGTTATGATCGGATGGCAAGTTTGGGGCAATAATAGGCAATAATTTATCGGTCTACAAAGTTTTTATCAGGAAAATCATGCACAGCCGGTGTAAAGCATGAATAGTTTTTCTTTTCAATTAACACGAAACTACACCGGAATTGGCGTAAAGCATGACTGGTTTGCTAATTGTTAATATTGAGTACAGAATGCTTGCAACGTCAATGCAACTTTTAAAAGTAAAGACAAACCTTCAGGGGACTGTGAGAAAGGTTTGAACATTTTTCCCCTATTGAAAGATCAAATGAAAAAAAATCCTGGCAAGCATAATCAACTTTGCCACCATCGTCATGGCGGAGGTTATTGCTTTCGGGTCAAAGCGTCCGTCATGGCGGAAATATCACTTCTGAAGTACAAGTCCGATTGGGTGGATAATGCACATATACAGGGATGTATTACAGATGAAAGTTGAAGTGACGTCACCACATGTCATGTGACGCCCATTAAAGGGGCATATTTTTTTCTATTAAAGGTCTATATGTTCGATTTTGCTGTACGTAACTTGATATGTACGTATAATGTGCTGTGTTATAGATAACATTTAAAGTGACGTCATCAAGTGTTTATCATATGCACAGAATATTTCAAATATCCGAAACAGCTTGTGTTTGTCCACAAACACATTTCTAGTTATTAGGTGTTGGGCCTGAGCCCAACACCTATTGTTAGGTGTTGGGCCTGAGCCCAACACCTATTGTTATTGTAAGAATTTACTATTTTTTTTTTTTTTTTTTTTTGATTTCTCCAAGACACATTCGTTTCCAGAACCGTTTGTCAAAATGAAAACACATATGAACTTCAATTGTCAATACATGAATGCACAACCCACTGAAGATGTGCTTTTTTGCAATTACGTCATTATGACGTCATCATGGGTCACGTGACGTCACTTCAAAAAATAATACATTTAATCTTTGAAATTCAATATAAAATCAACCGTGAGAGACCGGAACTTGAATTTTGCGGGAATCGACATGATTATACATGCTCTTCAATTTATCTTGTGCGCGTAAAATCACATGACCCTTCCTTCCGGTCGAAACCGGAAGTGCCTAATAATTCAAAAGTGGAAAAAGATATGAACTTGCTTTCAACGATGTTAGCCTGTGGGTGGATTGATCTTTCCAAAATAATGATCGGTGACGCCATCAAGTGTTCGAGCGCCCTCTAGCGGCAGGTTAAAAAATGTCCAAAACGCATTTTCAGTTGATGTCTGTGGCCAACTTTGCTGTAATCGCTTCAAAATTAATACACATGATCATCTTAATGCTGACAAGACCTGTGCGCGAAAAAAAAATTGATTACGTAATCAGACCGGAAGGTACAAAGAAAAGACCTCTTTTCCTTTGAAAATTGCTGAAAAATCAACCTTCAGAGATATAATCAAGTTTTGTGCTTTAAATGGCACTTTAGTAATGGGTCTAAAACTTCCCAAGGTTTCGTTACAATACGTTAACTAAAAGATGCCCTGCAGCCCCCTTGAAATTTGAAGTTGAACACGCCTACGTCTTGAAACGCTCAATTAATGCCACGTACATTGTGTGTACAGCAAACTGGGGATCATTGCGTA